TTTTTTTATGGACTGATATTGATATAGAGATGGGCCTGGGATAACTTCTTGATCATAAAAAAATACTCTTATAGTTAGTGACTTGGGTGTCCCTGGATTGAGAATTAATTTGTTGTGTTCCTTTTGTTTTTGGTGTTAAGGGTGGAATATTTGAGGCTGGGTTAGATGGTTTCTTGTGTTCTCTGATATCCGGAATCTCATGGTTTTATGCATGGTGCAGGGATGAATGTTGCTTATTCTGCTCCAGCAAGACATGGATGCTTGAAGGTGGTTGAAAATAATTACTGTGCTTCAAAAAGGGGTATGCTTTAATTGTGTTGACCCATTGATGTAGAATCTAAATGTTTGCGTTGCATTATTATCATTAAGGGTTTTTCATTGTCTATACATGCCATTTTAATTCTTTATAGGACTAAGTTTGGTGATTTTGGTTTTAGGATTATACTTAAAAAGAAGGAAACAGATAAACACACTTGTTTTTGTAGTTTTTTTATTGGTGTTTGAGTTGTTGGCTGCTGCTTTCTGAATAGTGTAGCTCATGCATTGTTGGTAATTGCTATCGCAAACATACCAACAAGAAAGGGGAGGAATTAGTAAGTTTTGCCAGAATATCACTTGTACTCGTCTTCCTTAGCAACCGAGGTAGTTGTCTTTTTAACCTGAAATCATATGATATACTGGCTTGCTTTCTTTAGTGGCTTCACTATGCCTTTTAAGTTCTGATTCATGCAGCACTGGGTTGCTAAGGAGATGAGCAATCAAATGGGCAATTGGGTTTTTGAAGTTATTTAGTAAGGCTTTGGTGATGGATGATTCATGCCTCAGTGCATTTTGGGATCAGTTAAACTCCTATGGTTTTGCTTTGTTTTAAGAATTTTTACACGGTTTCCTTTGCAATGGGGGCCCCTTAAGGCTCTGTGATTGCCTTTGTAGTCAGCAGCTCTACCATTGCTTCATTTTCTTTACCGTGATATCTGATCATTAATATTTCTACCAAAGGGAGTAGGGGGGCTAAAATGGAGAATTATTTCCCCTCTGTGATCTAGGCACCAGAAGATCTGCGAACTCCTTTCCCCTTAGTACATTTGGGTGATGGCAGCAGTTCTGGTGATTGGAAAACTTAGGATAGGGCCTTAATTAGTTGGATCTAGACACTTTCAGAGTAATGGTATCTGGGCTTCTTTTTCTTCTTTTTTCCATGCAAGTCTATTTCTTAATTAGTGTAGTAGTGACTTGAGGAAACCTGCATGATCAGATGCTGAGTTTGATGCAATCAAGATGTTTTATTTTTAAAATTGTAATGCATCATAAATCATCTTATTTTTTAGCTGTTGCTCATATATTTATGAGATGTAAATGATTTCACTTCCTCTATACCTTTTTTTTTATAAGAGATCAAGAAATAAAGTCGAGGCAGCTGACTGACATTACCACTGATTAGTGCAATCAGAAATCTTGATGAAGTTAGAAATGGAAGAAACAATAGGTTGACAGGCTGCAGCTGAAATCGATAAAATAAGGTTGTCTTGTCAGACCATTGCGTACTGGAATTGATTAAAAGAATTAATCAGAATGGGACCGCCATCTTTTGACTTCTGGTCTTCTTGAATAGTCTTTATCATGGACGACTGGCTCTGTACATTGCGTGCTGGGAGCCAATCCTGGTCTTAACATGTTTTTTTCCTTCTTCCTTTTATTTTTCCAGTTTGTTGAACTGATTCCCATAGTATTGCAGGAAAGTGAAACAAAGATTAACTTGATTAAGTCTTGCCCTTTCAGTATATTCATGATTTTGCTTTTCTGTATGTTACATAGATGCGCTGCCTAGTTGTTTGATTGATTTGGGTATCTTCTAACTATCTTTTTGATATATAGGTGGGGTGCGTTGTCTATCCATTTTGAATGGTGTCTTTGCCATTATCTTTGGTCTCCTTGCGCTGTTTCTTGGTTCAAGCCTCCTGACACTAGGGAGTAGTTGTTCATTGCCTTTGTTTTGGTGTTATGAGTTTGCGACATGGGGGCTAGTCATTTTATACGCGGGAACCGCCATCTTTTTAAGAAGGAAAGCTGCTCTAATTCTTGATGAGAGTGATTCTGGTAGTCGAAACTTGGGCCTGGAAATGTTGGAAACCAACACCTTGGTGGTCACTCCAGATGTGGAAAGGCGTGTTAATGAAGGTTTTAAGGCTTGGATGGGTTCGTCCCTCTTATCTTCTGATGAAGAAGATGAACCTGACAGTTATTCAGAATCACCTCACATCACTCGCACTTCATCTAACAGACAAAGAGTATGATCTTGAAGCCAAGTGGCATTGGTGAGTTTTTTGCAGGGTTTTCTCAAGTACAGCATCAAGAATGTCTGGATCTTCTCATGTTGACTGATTTTCTATCAGAAGTGTAGTTGCGGATCCTGTGACGAGATGAATGGTGAGCGTGACAGTTTTGAAGATGACGTCCATGTGACTACCCGTTGCCCTTGGCCTTTTAGGTAGTCATCGTAGATTGTAGGCTGTAAATAATTCAACGGCGATTTCTCCTCTTATGTTGTGCGCCGCTGTCATGGAAAAGCAAGCATTTACATTCCCCTAACGTTAATGATTTGATTAAGGCCATGTTTGGTGGTATTGCAGCATGCCCGTGTCTTAAAAAAAAAACTTGAATTTTTATTTTTTTCTATTCTTGTAAATTATTTTGATATATTGAAATTAAAAATAATTTTTTTATATATTTTTTTATAATTTTTTTTATATTATTTTAGTATATAGAAAAAGCATTTTAAAAAATTATAAGTTTTTCTTGCATCATCACATCCTCAATTTCAGCTGGTTTTTTAAAATAATTTTAAGTATGGTAGCGGTTATTTTAAAAAATATTTTTATTTTGAAAATATATTAAAATAATTTTTTTTATTTTTTAAAATTATTTTGATATAAAATATTAGAATGATTTGAAAATATTAAAAAAATTAATTTAAAATAAAATATAAAACTTTTTTTTAATTATTTTTAAAAGACCTTTAAAACACAATGTTAAATACACCAATCAAATTTGCAACCACCAAAGATAATTCAAATATGTTTGTACTTTGCACAATAGGAGCCATTTGTGTCATTTTAAAGGGAATGCCTCTTGGCCTGGATTAGTTTTGCTAGCATTTTAGTGGGTTTTGTTATTAGGAATTAATTTTTTTCTTATAATATGTAATTGATAAATAAATTGAATTTATATATTTAGAAAAAATAAAATAAAATTTATATTATTCTTATTACTTTTATTTTATTTCTTCAAATGTTTTTTTTTCTAAAAACGGGAAATGAGGTTTTTGAAAAAAAAATAGTGTTAACATTAAATGTTTTATTTTAGAATCGTAAATCAAAGAGGTTAATTTCTGATTTATTTTCATAATATTTTTAGAGATGAAATTTTATTTGAAATTTAATTTTTAACATTCAAAAAGATTTCAAAATTTCATTACCATCTTTAAATTAAATTCAAATAAGATTATTCTAAACATGTCGATGCTGTTAATGAATAACGACTGCTTTTAAGGCAATATCATTTAAGAGCTTTTGTTTTTAAGAGCTTTTGCTGTATGAGTTGTATGACCAGGTTGATTAAACAGGACTGGGCAGCTTTACTTTTATGATTTGTAAGTGCATGCGATGTTGGCCTGTATTTTATTAAAATTTAAATATTTTTTATTAAAATTATTTTTTATATTTTTAAGTTGTTTAAATATATTAATGTAAAATATTGTTTTTAAAAAATAAAATAAATATTATCTTAAAATATTTTCACAAAAAAAATTAAAAAAACAATCATTACTACATTTTTAACTGGTTTGCTTTACTGGTTTTATTTGCCTGTTTGCCGAGGCTTTGGCAGCGGAGTGCAGACAATATATATATATAAAACCCCAATACAAACAATATTCCTTTGAAAATTACGGTGACAGTAACACGCAAACCCCATTATTCATAGACAGAAAGCTTAAGTTTTATTCTTCATCCAAGATTCAAGCCCCCATAATATTTTTTAAAGTTTTTAGTACTATGATTATAGCATTTTCAGGTTGATTTTTACGTGTTAATATTAATTTTCTCTCGGAATGTATCGGTAAAGTATAAAAAAAATCTTAATTAATGTACAAATTATAATTATTAAATTCAACTTCATGAGTTAAATTGATTTACAATTTGGTTGGCCGATTAAACTTAATTAGGTCAAAATCAATAATTTTTTTAATGATTGAAGTTGTTTTGGATAAAAATAATTTTTTTTTTAAATGATTGAAGTTGTTTTGGATAAAAATAATAGATCCTGATTAAACTAATAATCTGACAAGTCTAAAAAATTATGTTAAAAGTATTTTTTATATTTCTTTAAATTGAAATTGAGATATAATATTTTTAACATTAAGGGTGAATATTTTTAATTTAGTTTAACTTTTTTAAAAGGAGTAAAGTGGATAAAACCTGCCAGTTTTTTTTTATAAAAAAATTAGTTTGATTTTTATATAATAAAAGGGTAAAATCAAAATAAATTCATAAAATAGATAAAGATAATTATAGATACTCAAGGATATTTATAATCACAAAAATTAAAAAAGAAAATAAAATAAAAGAAAATATGCACTTATCCAAATAACATATATAAACATGATTAAAAAAGTCTGCAAAACCTATCAAAACATTGAGCTTATTCCCTTTTATACATTGGGAACAATATAAACTTTATGTTCTAACTTTATACATAGAACCAGACCCAATTTTTTTCCGGTTTTCTAATTGGATTTTTATTTTTTTCTCTTGTTTCATTTTTTTTATATAATTTGTTTTTTTTATATTTTCTGTTTAATTTTTCTTTTCGCTCACATGGTAATGGCACGATATGATTTATGTCCCTCTAGAAATCCGGATGCTTCTGAAAACAGGAAAATATTAATGGGCCTTTTTATGAAAACGGGCTAAAAGCCCAATGATAATAACTAAACCCTCTCCCTCGCTGCCTCTCACACTCCCCTCCTTCTCTCCCTCTCTACCCTTTCCCCATGCTGCTTGCTCTGATCCCTCATTCCACAACCATGGCAACAACCTTCGACTACGACGACGCTCCGAGCAGACACGATGAACTAACCGGTCTAGACGGTTACGACCCAAACTTCGTCCCGGACTCCGTCAAGTCCTTCGTAACACACTTATACAGGCACATAAGAGAAAAAAACGTTTACGATATTTACGAGATGTACGAAACCTCTTTCCAGACACTTTCCGACCGTTTCTTCAAAGACATCCCTTGGCCTTCAGTCGATGCGGTCGCTAACTATGTCGACAATGATCATGTATTTTGCTTGCTTTATCGTGAGATGTGGTTTAGGCACTTGTATGCAAGACTTTCTCCTACGCTTAAGCAGCGGATTGATAGTTGGGATAATTATTGCAGTCTTTTTCAGGTTTTATTTATTTATTTATTTATGCTTGTATTTCTTTTTTTCCCCTTTAATGTGATAACTGTGATTATTATTATTTTTTTAATTTTTTTTATGTGTGTTTGGTTTGATTTGATAGGTGGTGTTGCATGGAGTGGTGAATATGCAATTGCCGAATCAGTGGTTATGGGATATGGTGGATGAGTTTGTTTATCAGTTTCAGAGTTTTTGTCAGTATAGAGCTAAGATGAAGAACAAGACTGAGCAAGAGATTGCCCTTTTGAGGCAATTTGATCAGGTAAAGCTTTTGTTTCTTGTCATTTGGGAATGGTTTTTTTTCAATGGTAGTTTGATTGCTGCGTTGTTCATTGTTGGAAGCATTGGAATGAAAGAAACAATGGTTAAGTGGAGTATTATCTGTGGCTGTTACTTGTTGAAAGCTGGAGGTTTTTTTTTTTTTTTGACTGAGATGTGAAATTGGAATCTACCCTAAATACAAATTGAGGAGACAGAGAAAGAGGAAAAATTATAATTAGATAGGTTGTTTTTAGGGAATACTGTACCTTGTCTTTTCACTAATGCAAATACGGGTTGAGCAATGGAGTTTGAATGAAGGTGGAATCAGAATACACCCTTCTGTCGCTTATGTTGATGGATACTATAGTTTGATAATTACCACACTCATGCAATCACAATTGGGATATGGTTACTTTTTTTTTTTATATAGTTTTGAATTGGAATTAAAGGATTTTTTACTTACAGGCTTGGAATGTGTATGGAGTGCTGAACTTCTTGCAAGCACTGGTGGAGAAGTCGATGATCATTCAGATACTAGAGCGGGAGAAGGAAGGTCTTGAACAATTCATGTTTTTTGTTGATAGTAGTGTTCTGGGCTTTACCTGAATGAAACATGTTTTTTGTTGTCCTTTTTGTTTCTTTTAATAGGTATGTGGATGCTATTCACGAATTCAATAAAATTCTCCTGTACATATACAAGACCAAGCAGTATCATCAGAAATCTCCACAGTATGAGCAGATATTAAAGAAGAATGAGCAGATGTATGCTTTGCTGGCAATTTGTCTGTTTCTTTGCCCACAAGTGAAGCTCATTGATGAGACAGTCAACGTACAATTAAGGGAGAAGTATGGTGAAAAGATGGCTAGAATGCAAAGATATGACAACGAGGCATTTGCTATCTATGATGAGCTCTTCTCATATGCATGCCCTAAGTTCATCAGTCCCTCAGCTCCAAGTTTTGAAGAGCCTCTTGTAAACTACAACCAGGCATGCATTACACATTTTATATGTTGAGCAGAGCTACTGAGAAGTATTTAAACAGAAAACATAGTTTTTGATACTCTTTTCTTCGCTGGCCAGCTAACCTATATGGAAATCACTTGTGAATTAAATTTTATGTAAATGAACTGAGCTGCTTAGAAATATTTGAATAGGACTACATATTCTTTTTTTTTTCGGTTGACCAGCTAACCTTTGTAGAAAAAAACTTTTCATGAAATTTATATGGCAAGAAACCACCGTTTGAGCTTCAGTTCATTACAGAAGTCGAGATATGCTGCAGTCTATTGAAAGAATTTTGTTATAATAAATGCATGTGCTGACACAATATTAAATTAGATGCTTAGAACTACTTTCTTTGAGAAATAGGACTGGAGGGGAAGAAAATAGCAGCAGCAGCAGGGATCACAACAAGCTAAAGCAGCACATTTTTTCCGGAAAGTATTTTTAATAATATCATCCGATTCAAGTCATGATATGCTTTATATGGATAATGATAGCACTTGTAAATTCCAAATGGTTTAGCTCCTGCTGCACCTAAAACACTGCAGCTATTGTAGTCATCTGCTTTAAGTACACAAACATTGACCACATGAAGGAGTCTCACTTGGTTTTGCCATTTGTTTATCTAAGCATTGTGAGTTATCTGGATTGGGCAGTACAGATTTCCTCTTAATTTATTCTCCTAAAAGTGATGGCTGCATATCAAGGAAGTGTCATTCCCTTTGTTTCCTTTTCATATATTCTCATGTTTTGAAAAGGGCTAAATCAAGCTTTTGTGGCAGTTGACCCACTTGAGTAGTTTTCACAGTCCTGTGCCTGTGTGTCTGTGTGATATTTACAAATTGATATTTATCTCTGCAGGATGCTTACAGACTGCAACTGAAATTGTTTATTTACGAAGTAAAACAGCAACAATTGCTGTCAGGTGTTAGAACCTTCCTGAAAGTGTATTCTGCTATATCTGTTGGGAAGCTTGCTAATTACATGGAAGTTGATGAACCAACTCTAAGGTGAGTATTTTGTTTTGTGGACTTATTTCATTTAAACTTTGGATGACTGGAAATGATGTTTTCAACTTGCTGCTATTACATCTTACAGGACTATCCTGATGACATACAAGCACAAGACTCATGCTGTTGATTCTGAGGGAAAGATTATATCAAATGCTGATGTGGATTTCTACATTGATGATGTATGTCTTTTTGTATGTGATTATGCTGTCTAGTTTGTAGATTTTTTTTTTTATAATGTTGTGCTTGAAAGTTTCACTTGATTTTAAATTGACGCAATTGCATGTTCTTGGAGTTTCCATAGTCTGCAACTAGCTGGACTTGTTGATTTTGTTGACAACATTGATAAACAATTCACTGAGCCTTTCATATTTTCATTAGAAAGTCACATCTGTGGTTGGTAAAATCCATATCAACTTGCATAACTGATCCATGCTAGCCTAACGAAAAGCACAGAATAATGGCTATGTGCTCATTTTCTGCTCATAATAATTGCCTCTGTGGTAACCAATTCTTCTTGTTATCATAGCTTCCTTTGAGTTATCCACGCTATAGGCCATACATTTATGTGATTTGTTTGATGTGTTCCTGTTGTGCTTGTGTTCAACTAAGCAATGCAAGTTAATTTATGTATGTGATTTGTTTGATGTGTGCCTGTTGTGATTGTATTCAACTAAGCAATGCAAGTTAATTTACTTTCTAAATATATTATAATAGGCAAAGTGCAGTTAATGGTATTTATTTTAAACTTTGTTTGTTCTGAAATCACCTTGTCACTGCAGGACATGATTCACGTTGTTGACACCAAACCAGTGAGGCAATATGGTGATTACTTTTTGCGGCAAATTGTCAAGGTATACTCATTTTCTTGTTTGCTGGTGTTCCAATTTTATACTAATGCTGACCTTCGCCTGTCATGATTTTTTCGTTTTCCTTTTTATGATACAGCTTGAAGGGGTGATAAATGATATGGATAGGATAAGGCTGGAATGAGGCACATAACTCGGAATTTGACCTGCCAGAACTTGCATCCAGTGACTTCATTTTTTACTGGGATTTTGTTACTATGTTGGGCATTTTTTATGCCTTACCTATTTTGAATTTCTGAATTAGTGCATCTGTGTTAGCTCTGAACTGTAATCTTCAGCACCTGCATTTTGGGCCCAAAAAAGAAGAGAGAAATCAGGTTGAAGGATCCTTGTCGGCTTCACGTTGTCGCTATGCGATTCCCATAGTCATGAGATATAGAAGTGGCACTATTTTTTGTACCTGGAATAATTGTATGCTCCTGTCATTGTGATAATGATGCACACTGGGATGCCCACCAGAGAAATGAACAAGCTGTGATGGAAACAAAAAAAATGGTGGAACGGAGATATGTTGGTAGAATTGCGGCTGAAAGTGGAATCTAGCTTCCACACCTGCCATTGTCCTGTCTGGTGCATGTGTCGTGAAATGGTCGGGTTGGATGTCCTTGTCTGTTGCCCTACGGTGCCGCGTTGCTTTCCTTTGTGCCATATGAGGGCGAGATGGATTTCCTTCTATCATGTAATGCTTCTGATCGGTTCGGACGAACAACTACAGAAAGCTGTCTTTGTATCGATTGTCTTGTTGGTGTCAAAAGCAATCAACTTGGAGTTTTGTTTTTACAGGTTTTATTTTATTTAGTCCTATATTAGCCGTCCGTATAATTTTTGATATTTTCAAATTGTACTATGAAAAAAATAAATTTGAAATTGGTTATTATTTCTGTCTCTGATTTTGTTGGATGTTATTTCTGATTGTAAATTTGGGATTTTGTCCTTGATATGAAACCTCACCGTTTAATTTCCACTGGTCTTGTGTTTTGAGTAAACGTATTGGTTGGGAGATCAAATGGTGGTTTTGGCCGATTCTGAAGCTAATTTTCTCCATATCTGGTCTTTGTTAAAAGTCGAGCATGTTGTTCTACCGAAAGAAGGGCGAAAAAAGAAGAGCATATAGGAGGAGGCACACGACCTCCTCTTGCTCGATGTCCCCTTGACTGTTAGGTTGCCTTCAACTTGGTGTCTTCTGTGTATTTTCTTGTCTCCATCTTTCATCTAACTTTCAACGAAGTGCAAATCCCACCCTCTTGAATGCACAGCACACCTGAGCAATCTTTGATACGGTCTCTCTTAACCACAAAAATGACATCAATGGCACCGCGCCCACCATCCCCACCAGCCCCCTTTCCTTACCTGCAGTAGCTTAGTAAAGCATGCCGGCGCGCTGGAATTTCAGACGGGAAATAAGCTTGGAAGGAGCTTAATACTCTACTGCCTACCACTATTGGTTGTTGTGATAGCTGCTTAATACAGGTAGATTCAAAACCAGCAATGACAAGGTGTGCTAGGTGTTGCTTGCACGGCTCAATCAGGATAGTTAACCTGGTAATGCTCTTGTGTGGGATTGGAACGATCATATACTCGCTTTGGCTACAAAAGAAATGGGATGAAAGTATTGCCAAGTTCCCTCTCGGGCCATCTCCTCTAATACCATGGTAGGTTTCCAATCTCCACTTTCTCTTCACAACCAGAGGACATATTCATGAAAATTAACAGCTTTTTCCTGCGGAAATTAACATCACTAGATAGATGATTCAAGATATCCAAGCAAAGGGTTACTCAGCATCTGACAAGCCACTCTTTTCTGTTTTCAGGTTTATATACACATTTTTAGGAGCGGGGATTATTGTCTGCTTAAGCACCATCGGTGGTTATGTTACAGCTAATTGCACCAGCAATTCTACCCTTTGTTTCGCATCCTTCCTGCTTAGCTTCAGCATAACTAGAAGAACAAAAGAACCTCTACGATTTTCCAAGCTTCATCATTTCGAAGGACGTTTTAATCATTGATGATATTCTTTATAAGCACACTTTCTTTCCTTCTAGAGGGAGTTCTCCTTTGGTTGGATTTTGCTAATAACATTTGTGTCTGCTACATATATTTTCTTTCCTTGACTAGATCTTAGTATATTGTTGCCATCTGCTGCCTTCTTTTCCTTGAAGTCGCCGTCATCGTTGCAATTTTCTTCAAGATAGACTGGGGAAAGGTATGCTTGCTGTATTTTTGAATTAATGGATACACGAGATGCTTCTAGTGACATCTTCATAAAACTTCCTAATCAACCTTCAGCAATCATATCAACTGGATAAAAGTAAATTAAACTAAATTACTCATATATAGTTATGACCATAGCTTATTTCAAGCAGTTTGAGACTCAGCATCTATGGTTTAGTTATTGGTAAATTCTCATTATCATGATGCTAGGAAGGACAGATGAGGTTCCCCCACACCCCCCACCCCAACATTATTATTGGCATGTTCTGCAAAATAGTCTGAAATCAAGTATACTTTAACACACACTCTATACAAGCCATGAACCAACTTTCAGAGTCTCGATATGGTCCCATGCATGATGCTGGCCATGAACTGCTTTTATATTCGAACGTGCGTGCACTCAATTCGTAAGGATTTTTTCTGATCGAGACTGTAGTTCTCAAGTCATATTTATCCTCGTCTTCTATCACAGCAAATCACTACATATACTGGCCAGAAAAACACAGACTTTGAGATTTTTATGTCGATCCACGTAAAGATAAGCCGCGCAATCATGATCTTGATTTTGGTAGCTCAGGTAAATTCCAAGACAGAAGGCTTAATAGTTTATGGTAGCAGTATTCATTTTGAACATATGTTATCAGAAACTTTGTGATCAGAGTGTTTAGTTCGTTATCCCCTGAGTAGAAAAAAACTTACAGTGGTATTCATCGTTTTTCAGATCAGTGTTGTTATACTTGCTGCCATTCTTTTGGCAGTAGGTACAGTGCCAAGAACTCACTTTCAAGAGGTGGATACCCCGGTTTTTAGTCAATCCTTTTTAGTGCCAGCAGAGCCTCCAGGATCTGCAGAGGGCTCTAGACAAGCTTGCAGAAGATGTGGGAATGTTTTATCTCTACGAGGAGAAAATGCACCGAGAGGCTTCTTCTCACGCATTAAGGGACTACTAAGAAGGAGATTTCAGAGAATAAATACAGTTTATTAATTTCCTCGAACCCTCTTTCAGTGGAGCACAACAAATGTTCTTGCAAGTAGTACTGTACATAAGTACGTTGTAATAATGTGTAGGATAAAATACATGTTGGGAGAATTTTTGTACGTTTAAGGAAAGCCTTGCAAGAAAAATTGCATCAACTTCTAAATGCTCCTCCTAAGATTGCTTCCTTGACTCACCATATAGCTCGATTGTCTCTTTTATGCAATATATTTAACCCATTTTTAATAGTTATTCAAAGATTTTTTTTTTTTTTAATATCAATGGGTTTTGAACCAATGTTAATTCTAATTGGGTTTACATTTAGATTTTCTTATTTGAATAATAAATTTTAACTTACATCATTTCAGTATTTTATTTCAGGATTTTGTGCCATGTATAATAATTCTAGTTGAAATTTAAAAATAAATTAACTTCAAATTATATAATACAAACACGATATCAAATATTTAATTATGATTTTAGTCGGGTGACCCAAGAACACGATATCAAATGTTTAAATATAAATTTAGCCGGGTGACCCAAGAACGAACTGACCTACACTGTTATTCTGAACCTAGTAGTTGTTCATGTTTTACCATAAATTTACAAGAACCAAATTGCTATTTGATAAGCTAGATTGATGGCGAAATACAATACCTAGAAGTCATTTCTATTGCTCTACTGGATGCGAAGAGGAAACACTCAAACAGCAAAGCTTCCGATCGCAACCCATTCAGTTTAAACTAGCCGAGAAATTCATACCCCAGCTGGGATTTCACATTGCTGAACAGGGTTTACATCCACAGGCAACAGGCAAGAACACTTTCGCATACATAAATTATAATAAACAAAAATGACAGAAAATTTCGAGAGACGGAAGTTAAACAAAATAACATTAAGCAGAGAAGCCAAGCATTATCTACGTAAAAGACATGCCTTGTGTAACATAAAGTTAGCGTTCGAGAATGCGGCAAAAATTGAATTTTATTTTTAGAATTGTTATTATTATTTATCATTTTGATATTTTAATATTTAAAAAAAAAAAATTAAAATTTTTTTTTTAATATATTTTTACACAAAAAATATTTTAAAAAACAATCACTATCATAATACCAAATACACTTAAATAAAAAATCAAACATTATCTAACTTTTTTTTTAAACCTACTGGTTCAAAAGCATTATCTACATAAAAGTCATGTCTTGCTAAGGTATTAAAAAATCTAATTAGCTTGGTAGCAAAGTTTATATATTAAATAACCAGTTAAATTTTTTTATTTTAATAATTTTATTTATTTTCTTTAGCTAAAGTGGCTTGTATCCACCAAAGATTCTATTTGGTATATCATAACCCGATTTTAAGTTATTTTTTTAAATTTATTTTTTTAAATAAAAATAAAAAATAAAATAAAGATTGGTAACATGAAGAAAGTAGGTTGGAGAGAATTTTAAAAAAATACATAAAAAATAGGCTGTAATTTTGGAGGAAATTCAAAACTTAATTATATCCTATTATGCCAAAAAATGAGAAAAAATACAAATTTAAGATCGTATTAAATGATTATTGAATGAATCTGCATAAAACAATAAGTCCAAGGACATAATTAAATCTTTAATAGGTCCAGTTGATTTAATCATGGGGTAAATTAAATTTTACTTATGTTTAAGAAATAATTTGGGTCCAATTAAATGATTTAATTAAATGAAAGTATTTAATTATACTTTAAATGAGTTAAATTAATTTTATTAGGGGCTTAATTGGTAAAAAATTAAGTTTAGGAGTCCAATTTGAGCTTAATTGAGAAGATTAGAATTTTAAAAGATCAAGTTTAATTTTTACCAAGTTAATTGATTAAAATCAAGGGCAAAATCACAAGAAAATCAAAGTTTCAGAGTCAATTAGAGGTTAAATTGAAAAAAATTCTTAGCCAAGAACCAATATGTAAAAGACACAGAACTACAAGGGCTCAATTAATTAAAATCAGAGGTGATTTGAAGAAATTAAAAGTTTAATACTAATTTAGAGGCTAAATTGTATAAATATGAGATCAGGGACCAAAATAAAAATGACATCGAAATATAGGGCTAAAATTAAAGTTTTGCCAGGGACCAAATTGCATAAATAGTAAAGTTTGAAGCCAATTAGGAGTGTAGATGATATAAATAAAAAATCAAAGGACCAAAACAACCTTTATCAAAACAGCGTTGTTTTGATTACTGTTCATCATCTTCTTCAATTCTCTTAAATTATAATTCAAAGAGGCCACTTTACAGGTGCATTTCTCCATCAAATTTGACAAAACTTGTACGCAAATAATCATTTAACATCCCTTTACACCCTGGTATGGTCAATTTAGGTTGATTGATACCACGATGGTTGAGGTGTCAGCCTAAAGTGTCCAATCAGCCATTTTCATGCAAATTTGATAGCTCACGGTGCACACTTTGAATCAATAGTTGGGATCATTTTTAGCTGAACTAAAAGCCACAATTTGGCATAATTAAAGAAAAAATATCCCTCTTCCACTTCCTATAAATAGATTTGGATTCCATGACTTGAGGATGAAGAAATTAGAGGCTAAAGTCTTAAAAAAACCACCCATCCCTTTGTTCCATTTTTCTTCTCTCCTCATCAACCTTTTACGACTCTCTTCACCTTTTCCACAGCTGCCTTTTCTAGCGAGAATACCAACAACCCCAGCCTATACACCTCCACGAACATTAACTCCTTCCTCATCGATTGTTATCGCTTACCGTAGTAAACAATAATACCATTGTAGACTTCTTCTTCCTGCACCACAGTAACCCAACCACCAACACCTTTAACCACCATTGCAACCATCGTGAACGAGCCTCCAATGCCAGCTAGCCACAACAAGGTTAACCCCACTTTTCTCTTTTACCCTCTCCTTCCATGTCATTTCTGCATGTAAAATTCATTTTGCATACAGAAAAGAAGGACATAGGGGAAATAATTAACCCCCTGTCTTAGGTCAGGCCAGTTCTTGCCCAGCCTAAATTTCTTAGGTAGGCTTGGAGGAAAAAAGATATGTTAGGCTGAAATAAGCTCAACCCAACTTTCTTGGGCTCAACTAGTTACTTGGGTCGACCTACCCCACACACACACACACATATATGTATTATAATATTATATTTTTTAAAATGAAAAAAAATCAATAAAATAAAATAAAATCCTTCCAAACAATTGTGATTTTCTTGCATGTTTTTTTACTAATTTTGTTTAATATAGGTTGTATTTTCACACTATAAAATACAAATCCTGTATTAAAATACCTGATTTTCTTCAAAATATTTCTAAAAAAAATCTCAAAATTTTTAAATTAGTTTTCCTTTTCAAAAGATAAAAAGGAAACAAAAAAAATATTTTATTTTATGCATACGACCAAATCCTAAAATTCTCAAAGTATATTTTCTTAAAAAGAAAAAAGTTATATCTTTTTCATGTTTTTAAATGCAAAATGGATATCAAACCAGTTTATGATTATTTATTAGGATTTGATAAAATATCAAAAAAACCCTTTACTAATCTTTTTTTTAAGGTCTAAATGTAGACTTTAATAACTATCTATGTAGTGTAATACTACACGATAAAATATACTTCCAAATATTAAAGATACAAGGTATAAAATAAATACGATGCTAAAATTTAAACTTTAGAACAATTAAGATTTCATTGAATGAGGTAGAGATTGTCTCACGAAGGGATATTTGCCTTAGACTTTAGAAAAGACAAACGAATAGAACTCGACTTAGAAAGACAATCAAACAACAATGCAGTCTATCTTAGGTAAGGTGCATTAGGAGTGGTACGCCTTTCCATTTCACAACCAGTCACTTACCAAGACTCTCGTAGACTATAAGTTCCAGTAACATTAATCATAATTTTATGATTAAACCCAAACTCAAAACCCTTCCCAAGAACACACACCTTCTTAGGAGGCACGAAAAACCTCATCATCGCCCCTTAACATCGTGGCGCATCCTATGACAAGATGACGATTGCACTGGGAAGCACCTTGTCTGGTCAGACTAAGCCTATTTGTTTTGGTCTATTTAATTATAACTTGTATTTTCATTGCTTTAATATTTTTATTTCTTGTTCATGCATAAGTACATTGGGTATAGGCTAATGCCCTCATACATTTTGATTTCATGAATAATGGTTTGTCTCATGACTTTCAGTCAGGGCTTAGATTTGTGAAACATCCAACTATGAACTGAGTGTTTATTTGATAATGGTAGTCACATTATGCCCCAACCATTCCTTATAAACCCCTATACTTTCTTTACACAAGTTGGTCACTAGACAGTTCATAGATATTTTGAGACCAAATAAAAAGTCTACCCATCATGTAATGATCTAGAACCTTCCTTTAAAGCATGAACTACCTAAATATTGAGTTTGTAAATGACTACATCGATGAAAATAAATATTATGTTTATGAACAACCTTAACGATGATATTAAATATTATGATTATGATCGACTACAATGATAGTAATAGTCATGTGTTTTGTCTTACCACAACGGTGGACCCAATAATATGTGATAAAGTCTGTTATTTTAGACAAAGACTAATGAAAGTAAAAAAGTATGTCGTGTCAAATGAAGACTAATGAAAATAATAATGCTTGTTGTTATAGACAATGACTAGTGAAATTGGTAAAGCCTCTTATTTTGAATGACTACGAATGAGATTGATGAAGTCTATCATTTCGGACGGAGACTAATAAAAATGGTGAAATTTTCTATTTTGGATAGAGATAAATGAAAATGGTAATGTTGACCATTGAGCGAAGACCAATATGATAATATGGTATTATAATTGGATGTTTGGATGTAGACTATAAATATAGATATAGTTTGCTATTTGAACAAAGACTAATATGATTGATGAGTATCATAGTCGACAGCTTGGATAAAACCTCAAATAATTTTACAAAAATAATGCCTGTGGGATAGAAAATTAATATAAATAAATTATGCTCACGAGATATAAAATAATATTATGCAAACCATGCCTATAAGAAAGATAATTTTTTTTTAGGAATTTAAATAGAATGTAATGGTGCAAATTATAATACAAAAAATTGAATGGAATCCAATGGTGGAATTCAAATATATGATACGATCGTAACGATAAAAT